TGGTAATGGTAATGGTAATGGTAAAACATTCTTCGCCGTGGTAACGGTCATGGTAAAGAAAAAAATCACATCGATGGTAATGGTATGGTAAATGGTAACGAAAAAGTCACGGTAACAGGACTCTACTAGGCAGTAAGTTTCTTCTGTAAACTATATTGTTAACCTTTTACCAGAAAATTTCATTTCGGTGTTATCGTGCACTTCAGTCTTCTCATTATGATCCTAATCTATCTCATGTTTAATCATAAATATATAAGCGCAAATGCTACGGGACAATAGTGCCATCGTATTAGCTGTTGCTACTGTAACTACAACTGCTGCCTATCCTGTTAATAGCACTTATGCTATGATGGTTTCTGCGGTTTATGGCGAAGTCTTTACATGTTATACAATCTTTGATGGCAATTTAGCAACACGTAGGTTCCAACAGTCTATTTACGTGACTCGTCCTTTGCGCGAACTAGGGCTTTGTGCGCCTTTTGTATCTACATCTGAGGCAGCAGCAGCAGTCAATGATCAACGAACTTCTCGTAATGCCAAGTTCTTGTATTTTCAAGTGTTGATTGAGGTTTTATTGAAAAAATTGCTCTATGATGATGTTAAAGCTAAGCAAGAACTGATTAAAGTATGGAAGCAGAAGTATTGTGCAAATAACAGAATACTTTATGAGTTTGAACGTGATTATCATTCGGAAAAAGCAGTTTACTGTTATACAAGACCGACATCCTTATGTGAAACAATGAATAAAGCACTTCGAGGCAATGATATTGATATTCTCTTGGCAATGCGTTCTTTTATTATCGATTTGTATCGTCAGCAGATCGACGATGGCAACTTCACTTCTATTTTTCGTATTTATCGTGGATCAGTACTATGTGTTTCTGAGCTTGACCTAATTCGTAACAGTATCGGTGCATTTGTATCGTTTAATGATTTAATGTCGATAAGTATGGACATTGGCGTGATGATGACTGATATTTTCTTGATGTAGAAGAGTACATCAACATTTAGACTAAAAGATAAAAAACCTGTTTTTTCTTTATGTCGTTCTTTAAAGAAAACATAATCTAGATCGTGCAACTAATCATAGAAAACGAAAATTTGTTCCATTCTGCACATATCAGCTTTTTCTCTTTCTTGCAGATTAAGCGAGAAAAAGAAAATTATATATAAGAGTCGACAGAAATGAATAAAGGTGAAGTCCGCATAAGAACGGAAATCGGCCCACTAACAATAATCGCTCCAATCGGTCCGGTTTACTCTCAGTTCGTCCCAAATTTGCTCACTCTCACACCTGCTCGCCCCTTTGATGTTGTTTGATCTTACAAAGCCAATTTGGGACGAACTGAGAGGACACCAATCGGTCCATACCTCATCAAAATCACATCCAATTATGATATTCGATGATTTCGACCCTTCCGACCGCTTTTAGTCGAATATACCCAACAGAATCCACTCGAAAAGGAGCGATGATTTAGCACCC